TATATATATTTAAAATTTTATATAAATTAAATAAATATTCATTGAATATAATCAAAAAAAAAATATCTGCTTTTTTTATTACATATTATATTATATATATTCTAAATATTTTTTTAATATTTTATTTAATCTTTATATTTAACTATATCAAATTATAAGTAAAATATTATAGATATTACTAATTTAATTTCAAGTTATTCAAAAAATAACTTCTAAAATTTGCTTATATATTTAATATCTTTATTTAATATTATTATTATAAATAGATCATATAATTTAAAAATATTTTCAAAGAATATCTTAACTATATCAAATATAATTAGTATTATAATTATAAGTATGAAATATATTTTTTTAAATAACTTATAATATCTTATCTTAATAATAGGTAATTAAATAATAAAATTTATAATAATATATTTCTATTTTTATTTAGATATAGTAAGTAATTAAAGTAATCTTATAAATTATTAATTATTATTTTTATTATATTAATATAATTCATAACTAATAATAAATTTGTAAATACTTTTATTTATTTTTGATTAATAGAATTATTAAGATATAGCTATATATATCTTATTTATATTAATATATCTTGTAATTAATATATTATAAAATTTAAATAATATTTTTATTTTTATTATTTTATTATTTAAAAGAATTATTCAATTAATATTTTTCAAATAAAATAAGTTTTTTTTTAATTTAAAATATTTTATTTTGATCTGCTACTTTAATATTATGTTATTAAAATTTTTTAATATCTCATATATTTTTATAAAGTATTTATCTTCTTTATATTTTATATTAACTCTTCTTTATTAATAAATTAGTAATAATAATTATAATAATTGTCAGATATAATAAATATAAAAGTATATCTGCAATAATATTATTTTTGTTAGATTTATATTTTACTTTAAATTATTAGCTTATAAAATTTCTAATTAATAAGCTTATTTCTTGAATATATAATTTATAATTATTATAAATTTTTATTTTTTTAAAATATAACTTTTAAAATCTAATAGTATATAACTTTATAATAATAATTTATATAAGAAATAAATATTTTATATTTACTTTTTTTTATTGTAACTATAAAATTATTATTTTTTGAATATTAAATTCTGTTTTTCTTATATTATTTTATTTTTTTATTATATTATTATATATATATAATTAACTAAATTACAAAAAAATATAATATTTAAATCTAATATAATTTTTAAAATTTATTATTTATATATAAGACTTAAAGATATTATTTTAATTAATTATGATTTATAATAGCTAATTAAAGAATTATAATTAATTATAATAATTAATTAAAAAATTATAACTAAGTTATAATATCATCTTTACATAAGATCAGATCTGAATCATGAAGATATGATATATAAAAAGATAATTTACATAGTATTTTATAATAATTAAATTATTATCATTTATTTTATAATAAAAATAAAATTTTAGACTATATATTTTTTAAAAGTTTTCTAATAATATTATTTAAAAAATTCATATTCATAATTTTTAATTAGTTAATAAATTAATTTTTATTTACTTGACTTATTAATATTAATATGAAAAAATATAACTTATTAATATTAATATGAAAAAATGTAACTTATTAATATTAATATAAATATTAAAACTTTTATAATATAATATAGTCATTATTACTAATAAATAAAATATAAAAATAAATTAAAAATTGATAATAAATAAAGAAATTAATAGTTTTAATAAGATATAAGTTTAGCAGAAGAAAATCTTATTCTTTAGTTAGTTTTAGTTTTATAATAAGATATTATTTTATTTTATCAATCTCAAAAGCTAATTAATCATTACTAAACTTATTAATTAGTTAATAATTAGTAAAAATGCTTTATCTTATTAATAAGTAGATTAATGAAAGAAAAAGAAGAATTTATTATATTAACAAGTAGTTAATAGATTTTAATATCATGAAAAGCAAATTACAAACTTCTATTTATTAATAATTATGACAGATTAAAATGAAATTTTCTCTATTTTAATATGAAATTTTGTATTTTTTTGAGAATAATTTTCTAGATTTTTTTGGAATTTGGTTAAAATTTAGAATAACTTTTGTTAATAAAAAAATATATATGAATTTCAAAAGTATTAAAAGAAAATTCAAAAAGACACCAATTTTATTTTAATTCGATTTCATTTTAATCATTATTGATCATTCGAAAAAACGAATCGATTCCCGACGTGGGAAATTAGCCACGTGATAAATAAGCCACGCTATGTCACATGATCGAATTTTTTTGTGGTTAGATTCTTATTAAACTCTAGTCACGTGTTTGTCACAAGATACATGTAAATTTGCTTTTTCTTTCTCTTGAATTCAATTATGGCTAACGAGGAACGCTACAATTCAATTCCCTTAACAGAAAACCAACAACTGTCCACAGAAAAAGAAACATTCGACCAACTTCAAGTGCGTCACAAAAAAGAGCTCAAAGATCTTGTAGCACGTACCACCTCTCTAAAGAAGACTGCAACAAAGGGTGACAAAAAACGAAAGAAAGAAGTACAAGCGGAAATTATTAAACTTGAGGCTGAGTTACACGCAAGGCATGAGCTAGAAGTAAAAAAGCATAAAGGTACTCGTTTTCCGCCTTCAACTTCTTTGTAGGTCTCGGAGCGTCTTAATGAAAGTGCTGCATTTCTCAAAAACAGTTTCAATAGAAAATAATGACAATGATAATAATGCTATTGCTACAAGTGAAGAGGTTAGTTAGTTTTATACTGTTTTATAGATTTTTAAATATACTTATAAAAGTACTTTGAAAAGAATTCAGAGAATGCGAATATAAAATCGGACAAACAAGATGAAAATGAGCATCAAGCAGAAGAAGATATAGTTGACACTCTATTGGCCAGACTTGAATCCATGAAAATAGAGAAAGAAGAGCCGAAAGAAACCAAAAAATCACCAGATGAACGATCACCTAAACCTAAAAGACAACAAAGAAGAAAGGCATTGTATTTAGCGTTCACTCGACCACCAAAGTGAAAATGCTTTCATTGACGAATTAATTTGTTTATTATCAGGAACGAAAAGCTGCCAGGATCAAAGAAATGCAAGAACAAGGAGAAAAGGAAGCGGACGGTCAGATAAACATGCAAGCGATTGAAAGGAACGCCATTCAGGAATTAACCAAATCAATGGGACTCTCAATTAAGGAGGTATGTCTATTTCTATTTTATCAACATTTTTTTCGATACCAAACAATTTTTTACAAAATCAAATTTTCAATAGATAACTCCAGACGGTCACTGGTTTGTAATTATAATAATGGAAGGGTGGTGAATGTGTGTATTATCACTTCGCAATGTCTCCACTACACATTTCCTACTGATCTTGTTTGCGTAATATATTATAGTTTGTATAATGCTATTGCAGATCAACTTCAATTCAGATATGACATTTCGGTAGGTTTCATTTATGTTTTGAATATTATTCCATGTGGGTGCAATTTTCCCCTATGCAGAGAAATCTCAATACATAAATAGACAAATTACAAAAATCTAAGAAAAGATGCCGCAAATTACATGCGCGAGCATTTCGAAGATTTTCTCCCGTTTTTGACGACAGAATCTGGCGATCCTTATAGCATGGGTAAGTGAAAACATTAATCAAGTATAATTCTTTTATCTTATTGATTTTTTTGAATTCCTTTTTTTCATTATTATTAGAACAGTTTCAAAAGTATTGTGATGAATTAGAAAATACTGCCACATGGGGTGGTCAATTAGAGGTATATTACACATATGTATGATGCATTTTATAAAATTAACAATTTAACTCTCGTAATCATTTCCAGATAAACGCGTTATCGAAAAAATACAAGCGCCCAGTCCATATAGTACAAATGGGTTCGCCAATCTTAAAAATCTCCGATGATGAATTTCCGGGACAGCAGCCGATTATTTTATCGTTTGTATTTATGATTTTGATTTATTGCATCATATATCGCCTATTTCATTCTAAGTTGAATTTGTTAAAGGTATCACCGGCATATGTACGGATTGGGTGCACATTACAATTCACTTCGAAAGGATACATAAAGCTTATTATCATTTATCGCAAAATCAAAGTAATGAGAAAGAAAATTAGTTGCGCATAATCCCATATATTCAAGTGCATATCTGATTAATCAAAAATTTATAAAATGCATTCTTGTTTATTTAAATATTAAATATAGATATCCATACTTTTGAGTATATATAATAAAAATAGCATATATTTAATTATCTATCGATTTTATATTCAATAACAATACTTAACATTAACTTAATAGCTACAAAAGCAAAAAAATAATTTAAGCATAAAATTTGAAAAAGCAAAAAATAATTCGTCCAAATATTGACTCACCGATAATGCATAGGTTTATAAGGGCCATCCGGATGTATTCCTAAATACTCTGATTGTTTATTATTAAGTTTCGTAAGCTTGACGCCCAACTTTTCCAAATGAGCACGCGCAACCTCCTCATCAAGTTTTTTTGGCAACATGTGCACACCTAATGGGTACGACGCCGTATCGGTCCAAAGTGCGATCTGAGCCAACACTTGGTTCGTGAAAGAATTACTCATGACAAAACTAGGGTGGCCGGTTGCACAACCAAGGTTGACGAGACGACCTTCCGCGAGGAGAATAATATGACGACCGTTGTCAAGTGTGTAGCGGTCTACTTGGGGTTTGATGTTGATTACAGATTTGGCGTTGGCTTTTAACCATGCTACATCGATTTCGATGTCAAAATGTCCAATACTATTTATATTTAGAAAGGTAAAAATAACTTACAATCATAAAGATAGGAATATGTATCTAGAAAAAGATACAAAACTCACTTGCACACGATCGCATCATCTTTCATATTTACGAAGTGTTCACCTGTGATAATGTCACGACAACCAGTAGTCGTGACAAAAATATTTCCTTCTTTTGAGGCTTCCTCCATTGTGGTAACTTCGTAACCTAAATCATATGAATTACGATATATATATATATAATAAAGTCACCAATTTTTTGTGAATATTTTATTCAAAGCAAAAAAACACATACCCTCCATACAAGCTTGTAACGCATTAATCGGATCAATTTCAGTAATGATAACACGAGCACCCATTCCACGTAAAGCCACAGAACAACCCTTTCCTACATCACCGTACCCTGCAACTACACATACTTTACCCGCAATTTGAACATCAGTGGCACGCTTTCGTCATGTGCAAAAATAAAGATAATACAAAATTATGAACATGAAAACATGTAATTATCATTATTTAATATAGTATGTATACATACCTTTATACCGTCAACTAAAGATTCACGACATCCATAAAGATTATCAAATTTAGATTTGGTCACGGAATCATTAACATTAATAGCGGGAACTTTCAATTTTCCCTCCTTGAGTCTTTTATACAAGTGGTGAACTCCTGTAGTGGTCTCTTCCGAGATACCTACTATGCCTATTAACACCGAAATATGAGGATCAATTCATCATAGTTTCAAACGAATACAAAGAGATGATAAAACTAATAAAAGTTACCATCTAAAAGTTCCGGAAACTTATCGTGCACCAAATTAGTCAAATCGCCACCATCATCCAGGATCATATTAAGTGGTTTACCATCTTTAAACGCGCGCAGCGTCTGTTCGATGCACCATACGTACTCCTCCTCGGTCTCGCCTTTCCACGCAAACACCGGGACACCCGTGGCGGCAATCGCAGCGGCCGCATGGTCTTGTGTCGAGAAAATGTTGCATGAACTCCAAGCTACCTCGGCCCCGAGGTGAGTAAGCGTTTCAATGAGCACCGCGGTTTGAATTGTCATGTGAAGACAACCGGCTATGCGTGTCCCTTTAAGTGGTTTCTCTACATCATAGCGTCGACGCAGTGTTATGAGGCCGGGCATTTCATTTTCCGCAATTTCTATTTCTTTGCGACCGAATGCAGCTTGAGAAATGTCGGCTTTTTGTTGAAAATAGAATAGTTAGTAATATTATTATATCAATACTCAAAACCTATTTCCTTTCGATTTAATTAAATCACATACCAACTTTATATGTTGACATTATGGAATAATTCCGTTAATGAAATTTATCGTAGAAAAAAAAATTCCTTTATAAAAATCTCGGCAAAAAATTTTCGTGATGATAATCACAGTTCACATGAAAAACGCGCAACAAAATTTAATTTAATTTCTACATGTGACTGACATACATCTGCACAACACGCTCGCGAGGAAAATCACCGCTTATAGATCTCTTTTTAATGTAATTAAGGATAGGCATAATTAATTATTCCAGCCCTCTTTTTTAGTGTAATTAAGAAATGGGTTTATTCATTGGTTCAATTGACCAAGGCACCACCTCTTCACGCTTCTTGATTTTCGATGATAAAGGCGGACTTGTAACCTATCACCAAGAAGAATATCCTCAACATTATCCTGAGCCTGGGTTAGTAACTCTTGAATGCCCACAGTAGCAATGTACTAAATATACTAATTAATTTGAAATTATTTGTGAATCAAGTTGGGTAGAACATGATCCAAATGACATTCTCAACTCAGTTTACCTATGTATAAAGGTTACAATCGAGCAATTTGAGAAACTGGGTCATTCAGTCAAGGATATCAAAGCTGTCGGCATTACCAATCAACGCGAAACTACCTTGGCTTGGGACCGTCTCACCGGGAAAGCCCTATACAATGCCATTGTATGGTGCGACACACGAACCCACGATTTAGTTCACCGATTGAATAAGAACAGTTCGTTGGGCGCTGATGCTTTAAAAGAAACGTGCGGTCTCCCAATCACCACATATTTTTCCGCTCTGAAACTTAAATGGATGTTGGAAAATGTACCGGCTGTTAAAGAAGCTCATGATAAAGATAATTTATTGTTTGGGACTGTTGATTCATGGCTTATTTGGGTAAATTATTTCGATTATATTTGTGAATCATATTTTCTTGATTAACTGTGTATAATTTTTTATTGATGAATTCAGAGTTTTCGTGCAATTAGAACTTAACTGGTGGTATTGAAAACGGATTGCATCTCACTGATGTAACAAATGCTTCGCGTACAATGTTTATGGACATCAAAACGCTGCAATGGAGTGATAAATCGCTCAAATTCTTTGAGATAAAACGATCAGTTCTCCCGAAGATCGTTTCTTCCTCTGAAGTATATGGCAAGATTACAATTGATAGTCCTCTAAAAGGAATCCTAATAGCCGGGAATCTAGGTGATCAACAAGCTGCTCTTGTTGGTCAGAAATGCTTTAAACGTGGGGAAGCTAAAAATACATATGGGACCGGATGTTTTATGCTTTTCAACACGGGCCATGTGCCAGTAATTTCTAAAAGTGGATTATTGACTACAGTTGGCTACAAATTTGGTAATCAAGAAACTGTGTACGCGTTAGAAGGTTCAATCGCTGTTGCTGGCGCTGCTGTAAAATGGGTTCGCGACAATCTAGGTATTATCAATGAAACTGCCGAAATTAATGTTTTAGCAGAAAAAGTCGAAGACACGGGGGGTGTATACTTTGTAACTGCATTTTCCGGATTATTTGCCCCATACTGGCGCGACGACGCTCGCGGATGCATTGTCGGCATCACTCAATACACAAACAAAAACCACATTGCTCGTGCAACTTTGGAAGCTTCCTGTTTCCAGACTCGTGCAATCATAGACGCGATGAATTCGGAATCTGGTACGCCGTTGGCTTCGCTGAAAGTTGACGGAGGATTAAGTAATTCCGATATATGTATGCAAATTCAAGCGGATGTTCTTGGTATTGAGGTTGATCGTCCGGCAATGCGCGAGACAACCGCGTTAGGAGCTGCGATTGCGGCTGGGTTTGCAGTGGGTGTTTGGAAGTCGTTGGATGAATTGAAGGAAGTTAATGCCCATGATCGTAAGTTGTTTGTGCCAAAAGCTTCCGTGGAAAATCGTGAAGCGAGGTATAAGGAATGGCAAAAAGCTGTTGAAAGAAGTTTTGATTGGGTGTAAGTTTATTTCATTAGAATTTTCATTTCTTAATTAGTTTTCTTTTATTGTATTTCCCAGTAAAGTACACGGTTTTAGTTTATTATTAACTAAGTTCTAAGATATAATAATTCTAGCATTAGCAATAACTTCACAATTTCCTTCGAAATTTCCTTCGAGTGATAATAGCTCGAAGAAACCAAAAAGTGTTTAGCAAAATTCAGTTAGAATTATTTCTTTGTTTTATAAGTTTAACTAGAAGAATATCACTGATGTAAATTTCCTCTTTACATGTACGCAAATAAAAACTTCAGAAATTACCGATTCATAGAAAAGTCCCACCTTTCCCATGACCAAATTTTGACCCCAAACCTTTAGCTTGGTCCAAAATTTCTCGACGTTTACGAGAATCCATTCGTCGTGCCCCCAAAACATCTCGGTCACGATCAAATGGTCGTTGTCGTACGTCATCTTTCTCCCATTTTTTTGATTTCACATAGGTCTCGGAATGTTGCTCTAGTAAAGATTTCGGGCGATGTATTTCCTATGATTTTTTTTTAATGAGTTAACGATAATATCCTGACTATATGATAAATAGGTACAATTTGAAAATGAGATACATTATATTCGTTGATCCTTTCAGCTATCTCCAAATCCTCTTTAGAATATTTAATTGGTTCATCGTCATCGACTTTGACATGCTTTCTTTTTTGGCGAGAACTTTTCTATTTATTGGCAAATAATATAATATCCGATCGAATACATTAATATTTTTACTATTCATGAAAATAAAGAATAAAAAGGCTGTAATAGTTTTTCCACCTGTATTCGCTCTATTCTTTCAGCTGGAGTCTCAGTCCAAAGCGAATTATCTATTTTGGATGGGTCATATTCTTTTTTGCTAAACTGTCTTGACCGCATATTTGTGGGTGATTCTAAATTTTTTGAACAACTATTGAAAATTTCATTTTTAAAAAATTTACGAGAATCAATAAGTCTGACCTCCGAGAAATCCAGCTTTAGGAGGAACAATCATCCATTCACCACGCTCTGTTTTCTTTTCTGAATCCGAGTCATTGGGCTATTATTACAACAATAATTTCGCATTACAAAATCTTCGTATAATAGAGCACCAAAGAACAAAAAAAATACCCGAAGTTCCCGTCGCATTTTCTCAGCCCTCTGTTCAAATTCGCGAATCTTCGCTTGCATCTCAATTTCATCATTAATTTCATCAGAGAACCCTTTTGGCAACACTGGACCAATGACATCTTCCTCTTCCGACTCCGCCTCTTCCTCCTCCTCCTCCTCCTCATTTTGTAAATTCGCCAAAAACTCGGAAGGAGGTGGTGCTGCAGGACCAATAACACGTCTACTGGACTTTTTATTATTCATAGATTCATCGTCGTCTACCGAGACAGTTAAATCTTTCTCTTCACTTTTTAGATTCCGTTTTCTTTTTGCTCTTTCTTCAAGCAGATCTGGAGGTAATGCTGGCATGTACGAGTCTGGGTCATCCTGATCTCGGATTACGTTTTCTGTTTCTACATTTTCTGGTTCGAGGTTGAGGGATAGTTGTTCTTTTGTTGATTCTTCTTTCTCATTATCTGATGTTTCTTGCTTATCAGAATCAGTTTGAAACTTTTTCAGTAAATGTTCAGGAATCTCGGGCCCTATGCTTAATGACATTATGAGAAAAAGAAGTCTTACGGGGGTGAAATTTGTTTCTTGGTATAATAATATTACTTGATAATATAGTTACGTTAGACAAAATCACGAGATTTTAAAAGACGCGACATGAAATTTTTATACTGATTTCCGAAAAAGATGAACTCTCGAATTTATCGTCAATCCGCACAATTTTTAAATACCATCAATCGTCGTCTTTATTATAATACTAGCAATACTTTAACGTCATATAGCAAATTATGTAAATTTGTTAATTTCTACAATAAACCAAATGATAAGCAACTTTATCTAATTCGTAATTTTTCCAATTCTCTTCCATTTTATTTCACGATAACTTCGTTTCGTTTATTGCAACCGCTCGGAAGACCACGACGAGACGAAGAAATCGACAGCCCGTTTGTAAGTTTTGTAAACGCGGAGGGAAAAATGGAAGGTATTCTAGACACTAAAGAACTCTTATCAACAATCGACCGAGGAAAATATTGGCTCGTCGAAGTATCACCGAATGCAAACCCACCCGTCTGCAAACTCGTTGACAAAAAAGAAACATTTGCCAAGCAAAAAACATTAAAACAAAAAGCCAAGGTTTTATTACATTCCGGACACTTGAAAGAGGTGCGGTTGAGCTGGAGTGTCTCAGATAATGATTTCTCGCGGAAAATTTCGAAGGCTAAAGAATTTCTTCAAAAAGGATACAATCTGAGGATTATTGTAAAGACGAGGAAAGGTGGGAATCGACCATCACCTCAAGACGAAATATCGATGCATAAGCGAATTGTTGATGAGCTTACGGAATATGCAAAGGAAGTTAAAAAGCCTGATTTTGGAAAAGGGACATTGACTATTGATATTACCGGAAAAGGACTATTTTTGGTGGATACAAAAGAAAGCGAATCAAATGATACAGAAAAATGATAGTGATTATAGTAATTCATGTTAATTCGGGTATATACGCAATATTATTGTCAAAATACAATTAATCTATATCCAAAAAGTGAATCTATATTCTCGTTATATGCTAGAGTTTTACGAAAAGAAACATTACTTTGGTGGCCAACAAATCAAGTGTGGGGTAATATTTAACCTTGATTTTGAAAAATAGCTTATAATCTTGAAATCTCGCTTATGAAACCGTTTAACAAAAAATGCCCCTTGCGAAATTGTATGCATATATTGGTTATATATCCAAAAACCCAAGAGAATATCTGAAGATCGAAAAAAGATATTCTTGTTAGTGTTTCTTATACAATATTACGGATCATTGGACACTTAATCTAGTTATTCTCAAGAATAAGATTATAATCTCTATTCACAGTTAGGGGGATGCCATTTATCACGTGATATCATCCAATTAATAGATCCATCCATTCATGTATGATGTGATAATGTAAAATAACATAGCATAAATAATTAATATAATGTAAATTTACATGAATTAATGTGATATGAATCTGTATTAATTGATGTTAATATACCATAGCATGGAATTGGATTATGTTAAGAATTAATTATATTATATAATGACATGTTTAATTTTTAAAAAAAAACTTTAGTTAATATTACATGTAATAGTTTTTTCAATCAATTTTCTTTTTTAACATTATGTAATTAGATATGTAATAAAAATTATATGATATATTATGATTTTATATTACATGATGATTAATATATACTATGTATATACTATGTATGTATAGTAAAAAATACATGATAAATGACATCTTTCTTATTAATACTTTAATTTTAATTATTTCTATATCAAGAGTAACTGATAAGTTAATTATTTCTTCAAGAACTTTTCTCTTTGATTATTAATATCAATCAAGTTTATTATGTTAAATTTTTAAATCTTTTAATTAATTTTCTTTAAGAATTATTAAGTAATTATATTACTTATAGCATCATTATTTATTATAATTTTACAAGACTTATTATAAATTAATCTGTTTGCATATATAATATCTACAAATATTTATTAAGCTTGTTAATTTTCTTTTTTATTTTTTAATAATAATTTTTTGAGTTAATTATTATTAATTGAAGATTTCTTAATTATAAATATATTCTTATCTTCTAAAGATATATTTAAGAATTTAAATATTTTTTAGTATTTAAGTATATATTTTATTTATTATTATTATTATTTTATTATTATTATTGTGATTATTAATATTATTATTTTAACTATTATTATTTTTTTTAAAATTAATATATCTATTAGTAATGTAACTAATATTTTATAATTATAATAATTAATAAAATTTTTTTGATTATTATTATTATTTTACTTTTATATTTTCTTGCAATATATTCAGATCTTTTATAATTATTATATTTAATAAAATTATTTTTATTATTAAATTGATTATTAGAATAATTAGAAGTGACAAGATTTTTTAGCTTAGAAGTAATACTTTTAATTTATTCAATTAATTTATTAATTTTAATATTTATTGATAGTACTAGTATAAAAGATAAGCCAGTTGACATTATATTATATTAAAAGTTAGATTTATAAATAATTATTATATTAATAGTTTCATTTAATATTATAGATCAAATTAGATTTATAAAGAATTTTATTTTTGATTTTAGCCTATCAATAAAATAAAATATATATAAATAAGCTAAATAAATATTAGTTAGATTTATTCTTCTAATTAGTTCTCTAATAGTAATAGTATATTATTTTGTATTTTTATTAAATAATTATCTTTTTTATTTTAATTATTATTTATTATTTATATAATTATTTATGATTTTTAAAATATTTCTCAAACTGATAAATAAATAAATTTATTTGTACTCTTATTAATAATTAGTAATATAACTTTAACTTTTAGATCAGTCTAAATAATTTAATTTTTTATTAATATATTAGATAGTAGCAGAATTTTTTAAATAAGTTTCAACTATTTAAATTTTTCTTGTATTACTAATATTATTAATAATATATATAATTTCTGGTAAAAGTAGTAATGCGTAATATTTTTATCTATATTTTAATAATGAAGTATCCAAAACTCATGAATGTTTGTAGATATATTTTTTAGAATATTACAAATAAGATTCTCTAATAGCACAAGACATGTTAGCTTAATAAAATTTTGTGAAATTTTGCATTAAATGTGTTGGATTAGGTATTTACACAAAATAACTTTAAAAAAAATTATTCAAAAATATTTTTAATAAATATTTTTAAAAATATTTTTGTAAAAATATATTTTAAGATATAAAAAATATATGTGTAAGTTTAAAAAAAATTTTTATTGCATATTTATTTAATAAATACCAGTTAAAAAAGACTTTATTTTGATAAATTTTATAAGAAATTATAGTAAAATATAGTAAAAATGGATTTTTACTATGATTTATTATAAAATTCATCAAAATAAAGCCTTTTTTTAACTGGTATTTATTAATAATATGCAATAAAAATTTTTTTTAAACTTATAAATATATTCTTTATCTTAAAATATATTTTTACAAAAATATTTTTAAATAATTTTTTTTCAAAGTTATTTCATGTAGACACCTAATCTACCACATTTGACGCAACGTTCCGTAAAATTTTATTAAGCTAACATGCTTTGTGCTATTAAAGAACCTTGTTCACAATATCCTAAAGAATATATCTACAAATTTTCATGAGTTTTGGACGCTTCATTGTTAAAATATAGGCGAAAACGTTCACCGCCATTACTTTCGCCGGGGACTGTAGTACTCGGTGTTAATCACAGTTCTAACTTTCATTGGTATTTGAGTGATATTTGCGCAGTAAAAAAATTTTGTTTCTATTTAATACGTCGGCATGTTAAAAAATATATATCGATAAATTTAACGTTATGATAACACTTCAATATATCATTCAGATTAACAGAAATCCAATTCCAATGATTAATTTGTACTCTCTCAATTATAAAACTAAGAGAAAGAGATAGTCATAAAATTCTATTCAATAAAAACCTTCTTCTGATCTAAATACTTTTCTCTTCATATTAATTAAATCAAAAGAAACTTAAACAATGAATAAATTTTTCCAATTTTTGACTATTATGATTATTTTATCTCCCGTCTCTATACATGCCGATTACATGATAACACATCCGATCTCTAGTATGCATAAAGCTATTTTAACTTTAGACCTCTTGTTATTTACATAAACACTTTTCTAACCTTTAGTTATTATTAAAGCAACCATATGGCATAAAGGAAAACCAGCCACAATCAAATGGAAGATTCTCGAAAAGGCTGATGTGACTTCAACCACGATTGAGCTCTTACGCGGTGATCCTGAAAATCTCGATCACGTTATGGTGATTTCCGATAAAGTGAACCCGAATTCTCTTGCTTATTCCTGGACCGTAAAAAATGATTTGCCTGCTGGAAAAGATTATGTTATTCAGGTATCTTTATTTTATTTAGAGAAATATATTTTCATTTTGTCTTATTTGATCTTTTTCGTTGCAATAGATCGGTGAAGAGCCTCATAAAGTTCGATATAGTCATAAATTTGAAATCGTGAACTAATCGCAATTTTACCCACTTGACAACATACAATACATATTGATATGTGATTTTATTTGATTGTATTTACAGTATATACATTATAAAAATAGATTGAGTTTTTATATTATTGTATTTATTATATATAGTATTTTGGAAAAATTGAATTTATCGAGATTGTAAACCTATATAATACTGCATTTCTGCGCAGTAATATACTACAAACCAAAAACTTGTGACGATCAAATTTAAAAATCTCGACGTCCAACAGTCTAATTTGGACAAACAGATTTGTCTAGATTAGACGAATCGAATTGTCCAAATTGGACTGTTGGACGTCGAGATATCGCTCCTCAAAGTTACTGAATCCAGCTTTTTATTTTAAATAAAACATACTTGATACCTGGTGATCGAAATCGCATCATACGATTCGTTTAGTTGAATGGTGAATTTTCGTGGGACTACAATAGTTAATTATAGAGATATCGCATATTTTTGAAATTTTGCATCATAATACCCTTTTTGATGTTATCTGTAAAAAGTTTTCTAATACAAATTTAGCCGTGTTATAATACCCTAATTAACAAAAATCATTTCTATGTGCTAAACTTGACACCGTACTTTAGGTATAATGAAGACGCCGGGCAAGAGAAAAAAATTCTCACTATAGCTTATATCGTTATATTGAACAATTAATAATTCTTCACTATCGCTATATCAAGAAGTTTAATATTTTGAGAGTTCACAATGTATACTGAGTAATTGTACCGCAAATTAAATCCAAATTAAAGACAACTGTCACCTACCTTTAATTAACTATCTTAAATATGTGAAATCATGTAATTAATTTTACAGATTAAAATGAAATTTTTGGTCAAAGTTAATGCAAATTATGTAGATTATCTGGCCAGATTTATCATAATTTCTTATAATTAAATAATAATTTTCTAAAATAGTAATAATTTGTGAAATATAAAATACAGATTAATTTTGTAATAATATTATTATAATATCATAAAATGCTATGCAAACTACCCCGAATCTCTTGCATTCTATCATCATGTAAATTGATTCAGATCCGGGAGGTATATTATAAGGAGAAAGTATTATTTAAATGAAGAATATATTAAATAGAAAATATATTAATAGAAGTATAGACTTGTAAAATATAATGATCATTAATAATATATATATAGAATAATTACCATTTAATTATAAGTAGATCTGAGATATTTAAATAATATTCTATAGTATATAATTTTAAACAAACAAACTAATTAATTTTAACTATAATTTTTTATATTCATAATTTTTTTAACATATTTTTTAAAACTTAATATATTTTTTTCTTGATATATTTTTTTATTTTTATCTTGATATATTTTTTTTATTTTTATTAGATAAATTATTAATCTTGATTTTTTATTTCTTCTAAAGATTCTATTAATAAAGCTAACAGATTTCTTGTCAACTTATTAATATTAAATATTTTTGATTATTTAGTATTATTATTATTATTAGTAAAAAAAATAAATATAGTACTTTTCATAAATAATAAAAATTAAGTATGATATAAATTAAATATAAAAACTTCTAATCATATCTAGCTAATAAAATTAACTTTTAATATGGTTTTAATAAAAAGTAATCATGGTTAAATTTATTTAAAAATAGAATTATTTTATATAATAATTTTATCTAAAATTTTAATATATAATTAAAGTATTATATTTTATAAATATTAATATTTTATCTATTTTTATTTATTTTTTATTAATAATAATTTAATAATTTATTTTTTAAAAATTAATAAGTAGATTTTTATTTTTATTTATTTTTTATTAATAATAATTTAATAATTTATTTTTTAAAAATTAATAAGTAGATTTTTATTTATATATTTATTTTTATATCTTAAGATATATATATATAATAATTTTTAAATAATATTTTAAGAATAATTATAATTATATTAGCTAAATAACTTTTAATTAATTATTCAAGACAAATTTTTTAATATATTAGATATTGTTTATAAATATTTTAAAAATTATCTTAGAAAATAAATATTTATATATTAATAATATTATTTAACAGATCAATTTATATTTATAATATAGATTTTAGTAAAATTAATTTTTTTTATCTTTAATATTAATTTAATAATTATTTTATATTATTTTTGTCAAAATTATAATTATTTATTTTAAATAAAAAAAATCTCACTTATAAATTAATAAATAATTATTAGTAAGCTTTAAAATTATAATATTTAAAATATTTTAACTCTATCAAAACTAAATAATATTTTTTTATAATATATAAATATATTATAAAATTAAAAAAAATTCAAATCTATTTTTTCATCCTAAATATTTAATAATTAAGACTAAAATACATTAAAAAGAATTATTCAAAATAATTAATATCTTATTTATAGAAAAATTATTATATTTAGTTTTAAAATTAAAATATTATTATAAATAATTAATTATAAGCTTAATAAGCTTAAATACTATTTATATTATTTTAAAATTATATTTTTACTTATAGTAAAAATAATATAAATATTATATAAAATAAATTATTATTCATATTAAAAAAACTAAAAAATTTATATTTTTAAATAAAATATCTTTTTAAAAATTTTAAAATATTATAATAATTTTTTATAAAGTTAAATAAATATTTTATAAAAAAATTTCAAAATACTTTATAAAAATTTATATATGAAATATATTTTTAATATATAGAATAATTAGTTTTATATATTTATTTAAAATATGAATAAATTACTTTATCATAAGATTTTTATTAGAAAATTTTTAAGATTATAATTTTGTACAAATCTTTAAATCTAAAAATCTATATAAAACTTTGAATCTGATAATAATTAGTAAAGAAGAAAAATTAAAAAATCTATATAGATCTATATTTTATTGCAAATTTATGTTGTAGCAAATTATATTTTATTTTATAGATTATTACTATATCATATACTATATTATACATGATATTATATCACAAAAATCATCTTATCTTGCCAAGCAAGTTATATAATATATTTGAATTATTTTAGTTATAAATAGTTTTCTTAATAGAATTTCTCTTTTCTCTTATTTTATTAATATAATTAGCATATTATTTAATTTATATTTTTCATTTATAATTATTTATTTCTTTATTTATTATATTAATAAGTATTAATTAGAGATATTATTATATAAATATTATTTATTATTCATTTCTATTTATTTTATTATTAATTATATATATATAACATTGAATTATTATTTAAAGATATTATTTCTATTCTGTAATTTTAACAATAATTACATTAATAAAGAATAAGTTTTAAATATAATAATCTTGTTTACTTTTAAATTAGTTTTTTATATAAATATTATTTTAATTATATTATTATATATCTTGAATTTTCTGTATGAATTTTTCTAATATATTATACTATATAACTAAAAGATTATAACTTTAATAGTAGCAAAATAAACTAATATTAAATTATATATATATATATATATATACTGTATATATATTTACTATTAATTTCTTTCTTTTTATATATTTCTTATTTATATATTACATATTATATATTTATATATATATATATTTATAATATCTGGTCCTGATCTTTCTAGTAAATAATTTTAATATTTTCTCTAGTCTTATCTAATAATAGTAATAATTTATTATTCTTAGTAATAATAATAATAATAATAATAATAATAATAATAATAATAATAATAATAATAATAATAATAATAATAATAATA